GACAGGAGGGAAGGGGAAAGAAAAGAAAGCAACAGGAAGGTTGTGCTCATAAAAACTAGTGTCATACTTTGCCTTAGGACATGGTGGGGACTGATGGTTGTCCTGTTGTGATTAGTGGGGCTCTGCCTACATCAAGAAGTGGCATAGTCTCTAAAGCCACCATCTGTGGAAGCAACTTACTCTCCAAAAGAAGGAAGCAAGCACATTTATTTGAAGATTTTCCATCACATGTAGGGGTGGCTTTTTGTGCATTGGTCTGCAGTTGTGGTATTTGTTGAAGCTGTACATCACCACAAATTAAACATAGTGTAAGCTGAGACCACTAAGCAGAATATTTCTATATCCTACTTTGGCTCTGTTTGTTGTTTTCTAACGAGGTCTACATTATTTGACTGTTAGAGAAACAGATCTCCTTTAAACTGGAAAGGAAAACTGAGGTTCCCATGGTGTCTGAAAGACATTGTTAGTGTGCATTCTGCCTCAAACTTTTGCTGAATGATCTCTCGGTTCATTTTAAACTTGTTTGAAGCTGGAACTTAAACTAATGCCTCGCTTTCATGTTGCATAGCAGTTACATTGCTGCATGTGGACAGCCTGCTGAAATCAATGATACTGCCTTGTTTTGGGGCACTAAGGGGAGGGGGGAGAAGGGAAGAGTCTTTCCTAATAGCTGTTCATCGAATTCAGCCAACTGTGTATTGAGGCACTAGCAAGTTTACGTTTTGTGTCACTTGGAGGTGGGTTTGGGGTTGTTTTGGGTTTTTTTTTTTTTGTTCTTCAAGTCTGGGTTTGGGGTTTTTTGTTTCTCTTTTGGAACAAGATGCCACTGTTAGTCACCTGGTTGACAGAATCAACATTGCTATAATTACAACAGTAATACAACAGCTATAATACAACAGTATGAACAGCTTTATTTTAACCTGAGTGCTAACTATAGCTTCATTTCCCAGACAGCTGCTTAGGTATGCAGGGGAGTACTAGGTGACCTTGCTACTGTTGAAACTCCTTACAGGGCTGAGTTGGTTGGTTTTGGAGCATATACCCTTCCATTGTCCTTAGTGCTTGAAAAAGTGAAAATCTTTGATAAAACTGAAGGGCAAGGAGGGGTGCGTGTGTTGTACATGGAAGTCCACTTTCTTGTACTGGTAGCTTTATGGAGGGAGAGAAGCTTAAGGGCATATTTATGTGCTGCAGTTCATGCCTTTGAAAAATCTTTTATGATCATTAAAAGGGTAGCGTGAAGACTTTGATGTATTGTGTTTTGAGAACTGGAGTACTTTATCGTTTCATTTTAACTAACTGCTATTTTTAGGAGTCTCGCTTTTTTGTGCCCAAAGTAGCATCCTATTTTTTCTCATGTCAAGTGAGGCTATAACAATCTAAACTATTAACATAAATGAAAGCTCTGAAGAAAGTAATGAAGATATTTTTGAAGCACTGGGATTAGTGGTTTTCTTTCATTTCAGTGACATGACTTCATTGTGCATGTAGAAAAATACTTCTCTAATATTTTCATTCTGACAGTTGCATTAAACACAAATTCCTGTTCTGTAAGACTGACTTACTGCAAAAGATTGAGGATATCGGATTGTGCTTCTTCTATACATTCTACAAGGGCAAAAGTCATATCAAGACTAAATGAAGGGAATCCAGTTTGTGTAATGGAAGCAAGGATGTAGCTTTTGGGATCAGTTGGGGATTCTAGAACTTATGGCATGTTACTGAACCAACGCTATAGAGACATCATTTAGTTTACAATCTTTATTTTGTAAGTCGTATGTAATCTTTCCAGTTGTAGCCAAATTCAGCATACTTTAAGTTGCACTTCTCCTGCGTTTCTTTCTTCAGTGAGATAAGACATTTTGTTCAATGAGAAAATGTGACCAACCTTCCAATAGCTGCTCCAGACTAAGTAATAATTAGATATAATTACTGTTCCTAGGGGGAAAGTAATTCTGTCGTATTGAAATTCTTTTATCTTCAATTAACCTACTCTGTTCGTACTGGAAATTTTAAGTGAGGTGCCAGCTTGCTTTAGGCACTTCTTCCAAAGCTGCTTACATTTGTTCGATTTGCCACCACTGCTCAGTTTTTGTAGCCTAGGAGGCCCAAATGTATTTAGGCGCTACCAGTAAGGAGGCGTGCGTACTTGAATAGCACTGGACTTGCTGAACACCTTGTTAAAGTATCTTTCTGTCCCATTCATCTGCTTCTGTACAGATCAATGAGGAGGGTTGGTGACCCACTGTCCTGTTCTCTCCCTTTACCTTGCGTTAGGTTGTTTCACAGGGTTGTGGGAGGGGAGGAGCATGAACATTTTTTCTTTTTTTCTACCTACTAACAAACTAGGCTTTATTACTTCTGCTGTTTATGGGATATCTTGTGTAACTTTGGTTCCATTTTCAGAGCAGTGGTAACCTTGCTTGGCATTAACAGATCCAATGTGCATGTGATGTGCAGGTTATTTGGAATTCAGAAGCCGAACCCAGAGTTTTCTGGCCAAATGGGTGTCCAGGAGAGGAAAGACTAGAGCACCAGGGACCCTGTCTAGCTCAGTTCTAGACTGGGTTCATTTGGGTACACCTTCTCATTAGGCAAACATACTTTCTTCCTGTGCTGAAAAACTGTATGTTGAATGTGCCTAAGGCTTTGACTATAAATATAAACCTAAAACTATTTTGAAATGGTCAGCCGGTAAAGTGTGGGATAGGACGGGTTTCAGAACTGAAACTGGCTTATGTTGAAGTAGCTCTTCTGTTTTCCTGGGGGCTTTGAATTCACTTCAATGAACAGAATCCAATTTTTTTATGCTCAAAACCCATCAAGTTAGTTGGGTAGTGTGAACACGGTTCTTCTTCCTTCCCCACTTCTTGTGTTCTCTCTGTTCTATGTCTTTCTATACAGAGTAAATCTAACCCAGTATATTTCTGGATGCAGCTTGATCATACGGACTAGCTCTCTGCTCTCTTTGGGGGGGAGAAAGGAAAGAACTGCTAAGCCCTTTCAATAGACTAAGGTGATGATTTAGTGTAGTCATCCATACCCCACTAGCTAACATAGCAATGCATTGACAAAGCCAGAAATTAAAGCAAAGTACCGGTAAAGTTTAGTCTTAAGCTAAATTTATGCACAGATCTCAATAAGCCCTAACTTTAAATAAATATAAGGAGTAAAATATGTCTTCCTTTAATTCATGTTGACAAAATTTCCCACAACTGGCTTGTCTATAGAAGAGAACATCAAATCCTCAGCATCTTGTTATCCAGGTGGTCGTTTGTATCCTGTGCCTGCTAGCACAATTGTGAATTTTAGGCTGGGAAAAATCTTGTGCTGATCTTTGGCATCTGTTGGTAACTGAATCTGGGGGACCCTTTATTTTAGGTTTGATGATACTTACAATAAGGATGACTGTAAAAGCCAAATCTATCCATATCTTCTGCCTGAAAATTTGTAACTTTTGGCCTTTTTGCCATTTAACTTGTTTTGATTTTCATGAATAGCTTCTCAGTTCAAAGTTTAGTGTATCATTTGTATTGTGAGAAAACTACCTTTCAGAAATGCACATTATATGCCATAATGTTTGTGATGGCCGTGTAAATTACACGCTAACTCCAGCTAGCACATCTTAACAAAGTCTGACACCTGAAACCTTTTACATTTTTATCATCAGTTGTGCTGTTTTAATAATGACTTCACATCAAAAAGCACTTACTGTGTCAACAGGTTGTGTAAAGAAGATAGCTTCTTTTTCTCCTTGTTTGCTAGATAAGTATTAATTTGCTGGGAATACTACCTCAGTCTGTGTCCTGCCTGCCAGGTCACTTCTTGAAGCCTGCTTTGTAGAAGTTCCCAGCGGTGCCCTTTGGGACCAGATGACCTGGGAGGAAATATTCCACTACTGGAGTAACTGACAAAATAATGTTTTCCTTGTATTTTTGAGAGGTTTTTCTTGCTAGCCAATGTCAGTTTTAAGGACACGACTGAGGCTTTTTTTGTTTGTTTTTTTTTTAGCCTTTGTTTGAGGTTCCTTTTTAAATTATGTTTCACTTGAAAATTTTTACTGCTTGGAGACTGATATTTTGAGGGTGGTGATGTAGCCAAAGACAGTAATTTTGAGGTTTTTTTCTTTCCAGAACTCTGTGGGTCTTTAAGGTCTGGAAGGTAATAGTTAGCTCCTGATAGGCACGCTGCTGCTGCTGCTGCTTTTGAAAAAGAAAAGAGAAAGCACTAAGGGGAGGTTTTGATCTTTCCTTTTTTCCACCTTTTTTTTTTTTTAATCGCTTCCTGCTTTCCTTTTGAAATGCAGCTATTGTCTGTTGGCTACAATAGAAGTGATATATCAGAAACAGGTGTTAGACCTATGCAAAAGACCTACGCCTTACATTCGGAAATACATACATCAGGAGCCTGGAGAGAGCGTAGTCTCTTGTATGGTAACCACCAATTGGGTATTCAAAGACAAAATATACTAAGGTTATTTCAATCCTTCTTACGTATCTCTGAGTGTGTCTCATGCTCATCTGGTCATAAGCAAAACTGTGGTCGATGCTGTAAATGACAGTTGGTGTGTGTATATTAAAATCCTACATTCTGATGTTACTTAAAGAAAAAAAGTGCTCCTGCAAAATTTCTGCAGTTAATTACTGCAGTTGATTCTAGAATGTATTCCACCTAATGGAAAACTTTACAACTTGTAACTTGTTGACAAATCGAAAGCTGATCTGGATTTCTCCCAGATGCTTGCTTTCTCCTTGGTTGAAAAACATTGACATCACTAAAACACTGAAGTAGAACCTAATGGAATTAATTTGCTGTCTTCAGTTGGGGAATTTTAACGGCACGTTCCGTTCCCATAAAATGGGTTGTGCAGTTTCACTTTGTAGTAGGTTTTTATGTTTTTGACGTGGGGTATAAATGCATGTCAGTCTGCTATCAGAAGACAAATCTGTATTGGGAAACTAACTAGTCTTTTTTGTTTTCTTTTTTCCTTTTAGTATTGGATGAATGAATATACTTCTTCCCTTGGAATTGGAGTGTTCCATTCAGGTATAGAGGTGTATGGCCGAGGTATGTATGAGAAAAACGTAACTTTGTTCCGGTAATGATATTATTTCAAAAACATTTTTCAGGTAGTGAGGGAAGTCTGGCCCCTAAAACCTGTTCATCAGCTTTCTCTTAAAGTTCTCATCTCTTCTGCCTCTGGAAAAAAACATGGATATGAATAATCCAGTAGTCATCTTGCATTCTTGTATAAAGCTATGCAACTATGAAAAAGTGTGCAATTTCTTCAGCTAGGCATAGAAATCTTCATTTTAGGTTTTGAAATACCTATTGTTAAAACAAATGTATGCTACATCTAAGCATGGTTGAATCATGTTTCCTCAGTATTCTGCCAGCACTTAGTGCGAGGAGTTCATTTTTAACTACAGAAACAATGGTCTGTTGCAAATAGGCATCTAAAACTGGATGATGCTCAGGAAAAGCTGTCTTATTTCTTATTGGTAGGTTGCTTTGTTTTAAAGGGACAGTTTCTTTGAGGGGCATGTCATGCATACTGTTCACAAAAGGTACGCTTGTGATAAATACAGCAATACATTCCAATTTTGCTAAATAGGTTGGACTTTGGGGATGAGCTTCCTGCTCTGTTCAGGCTACTTTGAATCCCCACTGCTGCCAGAAAGTGTTTCCGAGCACACTGTAGCGCAGGCTCAGGTCTGAGGTGTTCTTGCCTAGCAGTGTGATGCTCTGAGGTGATGGTGGTGCTAAAAGTAGTCTGTTTAAAGAAGAAAAATCTACTTCAGTTCTTTTTTTGGCACGTGTTTGGAGGCGAGGGGAAGCAGCGAAAGGTGCGGCGTGCAGTCCAAAGACCACATTGCGCAAAGTTATCTTAAACTGTAGATGTTTCAGCTACTATAATGGTCACATTGTAACTGGGTTTGCAAGTGTTATCAAAGCAACGAATTGACAAAATACAATGCTTATTGTTAAAACTTTTTTGGATTTCTTTTAATCCAAACCAGAAAGACCTGACTCTGAATAATTCTGTGCCTGAAACCCAGTGCTTGAGCTGTGCCAAATCCATGTGCCTCCCTTCCTGTGTGGATTATAACAGCTTTCTCATACAGCAGGTCATATCCCTGCTAGAACAATGACTTGCATTTTTCAAAGTACATCAAACTTTATTTATTAACCTGTTGTAAAAAAGATCATCCACAAAACTGGATGCTAGACTTGGATGATGCGTTAGGAATTTTGAGGAAAGGAAGCGTGAAGTCATGCTTAAAGCTTTTTATTGCACTCTGGGTGTGCCACACTGCGTTATCTTACAGACACAGAAGGAAGCTAAAGCAGACCGTGATATTTTCATGTACTGTAAGTGCTTATGCCAGCAGATGCTACGTGCAGACTTCAGATGCGTGCACTGGTTTACTTTCTTGTTATAGTAAAGAACTCGGGACAGTTGAACTCTTGCAAATCAAGAAACTAAAAAAGCCTATTAGGCCACTACGTGCTACTATACTTACAGGTGTAGCGCACACTGAATAGAAGCACCATCAGACCTTTGAGGATGCAGTGCTTTGAATCCCTAATCTATAAATATGTAAGTGGACTTTCACAGACAAGCATGTGTAAAGAGCATTGGTAGGATTTACAATTTAACTTGTAAATCCTCACTTACACAATGAAAACAATATATACTTACTGTAAAGTTATTCAAGTTTAACCTGTACACTGAGGTAGAAAATTTCCTGTCAGCTTTTACTTAGGTTGACTAGTAACTAACAAAACTATTCATTTCCAGCTCTTTGCATCTGTGACACATGTAAATAAGCTGTCTGGTTTCTAGCTTTAGGTCCTTCTGAAGTGATCCTCCAGTCAGTGTGGTCTGCTGTGTTTTTACTGTCATTGTATGCTGTTTCTGTTAAATCTGAGCTTTCTCTTTCAGAATTTGCCTATGGTGGTCATCCATACCCTTTTTCTGGAATATTTGAAATTTCACCAGGAAATGCTTCCGAGTTGGGAGAAACATTTAAATTTAAGTAAGAAAGATACCTATTTTCTTGCTTTTGAGAAGGCAACTTGTTGCATATATTTTTGAGGGTAGATGTATTGAATGATTCTACAGGATTTCTGACTTTCTGAGAAATTAGTGTTTTTTCTTTACTTAGAAATGAGAGATGGACTGAGGCGATGAGACAGTGAAGTGTCTACAGCAAAGAATTTAGCATACCATTAAATTCCTTAAATGTGTACAAATTATGTGGACTTGTGGCTAGCTTTTGCTATTCATACAGTATGTACAATGGGGTAGCTTTTTCAAGGTAGTGAAATATTTATTCGAAGAAAAAGCTGAAAAATGCTGCTCTTCAGGGTTTCCCCATGTCTCTTTTCCACTTTCTCAATGTGATTGCCTTGACCCTTCCCTGCATTACAAGCTCTTATCTCTTCTCAGCTGTCTCTTAGAAACAATATCCTTTGGAGAAGAAGGGAAAATAGCATCCAGTGTTTGTCAGAGTTAAGTTGCAAATAACTTAAGTGAGCTACAGGTGGACAATCAGCAAGGAAATAATCTCTCATGATAAAGATGAAAGTGGTGTTGTAAAATGGAATAGGAAGAATCTGTTATTCTAGGAGGGCAGAAAGATCTCGCCACCCGCAGTGGGGTGATTTTTGAGCGTTGTATGAACAGTAATCCACCTATATCATGGAAGTCTGATCACCTTTTAATTTCTGTTTTTCTTCTAGAGAGGCTGTGGTTCTAGGCAGTACTGACTTTATGGAAGATGACATAGAAAAAATAGTAGAAGAGCTTGGAAAAGAATTCAAAGGAAATGCGTATCACCTAATGCACAAAAACTGCAATCACTTTTCTTCAGCTTTATCTGAGGTAAACAAACATGAAGGTCTATAGAAGGGTGCTTGCTAGAAAGCGTCATCTCCTTCCTGTCCTTTGGAATGTTTGGCCTAATTTCCAGCTTCCCATCTCTGTTACCTTGAGCAAATGTCACCGTTTTTCAGGTTTTATTTGTGCTGATGTCCAAAGCACAAGATTTTGCTGCCAAAGATGCTAAATATTGTTGTCATATATAGTTAGTGTTCAAGCAGGAGTGCATTCCTAATTGAGAGACCTAGTAAATAAAGTATTAACAGGATTTCAAAAGCATTTCAGGTGCTTCAGAGATCACTACTGAAGATAGAACCACGTGTTATTTTTATCAGTATTTCCCCACAGAACCATCCCACTGAAAATAATTTTTGAAGTTATGACCTACTCTTAAAGAATAACAAGGGCATTGAAGTTTCACAGACAATGTTAATCTTCTGCTTGAGAGGCTTTTGTCAAGTTATTGCTCTGCCAGCACCTGCGCCCTGGTCACGTAGATACCTGAGTGGTCGTGCAAAGTATCTGACTGCAGAGTCGAATGGGCTTCGCTTTTTCCCCTCAGGTTTATTTTAACATGATCGGTTTGCCAGTATGATTGAATGCCTGATCACTCACCTGTGTATCAACACAAAGGAAAGGGTCAGGAAGAAGTAACCCAGGACAAAGAGGGGAATGGCTTTTGTGATTTTTCTCGGTAGTTGGCAATCTGTGCTTGTCAGAATTTACTCTAGTGTTTCATTGAAGCACTCCAAAAAAGGGATGGCTATTTTTTCCATGGTGAACTTCCATAAAATGTAATTGTTTGGGTTTTGGTTTTTTTTTCAGAATAGTTAATGGCACACTTATTGTATAACCTGTGTTTTGTGTAGACTGTTTGATCTTCCAGTGGTACTGGAAAATTTTATTGAGATGATGATTCACATGCAATGCTGGTACAAGTAAGTAGGGTGAGACACTGACAAAACTGCAGTTGGTATGAAATCTGGCCTATATGGCCAGGTTCTTGCCATACTTTTCAACTGCATGGTCATGTTGTTTCTATTTTATGTCTTGTCCTATTTAGTCTTCAATTTGACTATAAAACCAGGGATATAATTACAAGTTAAATGCTGCTCAGTTACAGCAGAGTAATGCTCCCATTAGTTAGGATTTTCTCCAGATTTGCACTGAAGTAATACCAGAAGTGAATATGGAGGTAGTTAAGTAAAATAGCTCACTCCTTGATAGGGACAATGAAACAATTTAACGACTAATGTACAGTTAAAAACAAGTATTTAATGCAGCTTTATATATTTTTTGAGGACTTGAAACCAGCTTTGCATTGTATTAGCTTCTCTTGTTCCAGTGAACCTGAGTGCGTATGTGCTTGGCCTAGGTGCTGTAAGATAGTGGTGTCTTACGCGAGGTCATCAGAAGCCATCACAATAAATAGGCTCAGCTATACGCATAACTCCACGGAACTGTAGTATTGATACTGTCGTCTTGACTGCTTGATTTCAGGGTGCTTTCTTCATAGTGGTGGGCTTTCTCCTGTGATTTCTGTTTCTGAGGATTTAGTGGTGAATAGAAAGCATACACTTAACTCATTTCTATGCCTTTTATAGAAGTTATTCAAAAAGAGTGAGGTGGTTAGGCTTTTCAGGACTTAAAAAAAAAAAAAAAAAAGCATACAACCATGTGTCAAACTTTCACGGTGGAAAACAGGTCTCCCTGTACGGCTTGGGGTGCTGCTTTTACTGGTGGAGAAGGTTGTCTTAGAGCAGCTAACTTGAGTGCTTCTTGACTGGTGTTTGTGGTATGTAAATCGTAAGGCTGATGCAGCCTTTGCTTTTGATTTACAGTACTGTAGTTTTGTTACTGCTGAGTCCAGAAGACAATTTAATCCTTTCTTTTCCCTTCTCCCCTAGATTCTGTGTGGAAAAGAGATTCCACGATGGGTGAATCGCCTTGCCTACTTCAGCTCTTGTATACCGTTTCTCCAGAGCTGTCTGCCGAAGGAGTGGCTAACTCCTGCAGCCCTCCAGTCTAGCGTTAGCCAGGAGCTACACGATGAGCTGGAGGAGGCGGAGGATGCAGCAGCATCAGCTTCCTTGGCAAGCTCAGCATCTGGGTCTAGAACTGGTCGCCACACCAAATTATAAGTCCTCCTCCAAAGTAACAAATGGTTTGAAATACTTCAGTTTAATCTCTCCAGCAATTGACTTCCTGACAGAACACGAGAGCTGAATCTAGAACGTTGATTTTATATGCAAAAAAGGCTCTCGCCAAGCCCTGTTTCAGCTCAGGATTATTTATGTAGTGAAAAGAATTGCTGGGAGAAAAGGGAAGGATTTTGTGTGAAGCCACCCTTTTCATTTTCACCTGTTTGGTAGACCTGGGTTAACTTAACATCTTGTATAAAGCAGAACTTAAATTATTTGTTTACAGTATTGTGTACTGCTGTTTACAAGTCCTGTAAGGACTCCTGCCACCATGGAAGAAGAGAGAATATGAGTTTGATTTAACTGTTGGTATAACTCAAAAGCAGTGGTATGACGCCGTGGATGAACTCTCCCCTTTGTTTTCAAGATTTAAGGCAGGCGAATGTTAGATTTCTGAGAAATGCCAGAAACTGCTGAATACTATATGTGTGAACAGGGTACTGTGCACTTAAAGTGGCTGATGTAAACAGGTAGATTCCAGGATGTAGGGAGACTGGTTTTAGACATTTAAGATCTGTTACTAGAATTATGACCTCTACATTAATGAAACTGTGGATTTTTGCACATATGAAGGGAAATTTCTATCCCATTACAATGCACATTGGTCCCTTTCTTTTTTTTTTTTTTTAACTCAGCCATGTAGTTTGCATCCTATCTTCTGTCTGTATTTACAGTCTACTTCAACCATGATTTAGACAGTGAATATCATGTTAGAAGCGTCAACAAATTTTTCCACTCTTTGCTTTACTAGATTTCAAACTTGTATATAAAAGTTAGTACTTGTATTCTTTTTTTTGTTTTGTTTTGTTTCATAGAGTTTGGAATAGTGTAATACAAGCCAGTTATGGTTGGGGAATGGCCTTGCTTTCTGCTGCTGATTTTGCTTCATTTCAGTTTGTAAACATTCATGTCAATTTTTTTTTTGAGCTATAAATTACTGCCCAGTTGTGCATATCCGCACAAATTATAGAGAAATCCTAATTTATTTTCCCACAGTCTATATCTGTGGCATTAACTTTCTTGTCAGATGTAATGAAGAAAAACCTGAAAATTGCTTATGCACCTGCGTGTTTACACAGCAGAACCCACTAATCTGCACACATAATTATATCTGAAGGTAAGAGATATTATTTTCTAAAACACAGAAGTATGTTTGCTGGTAGATTATAATTAGAGCGAAATTATAATTAGTGATCAGAATATATAATGGAATGCCTTATTCTTGTTCACTTACCAAGAGAATTAATGGTTCTTCCAGTCATTAGTGTAAATTAGTGAGGTTCTATTGTGCACATAAGGATACAGTAGCACAAACATGAGGGAGGTGAGCTTGTGTATTTTGTAAGACTTGCTGCCTTAAACTAACAAAAACCATACCATCTGTAAACTGATCAGCTCACAAAGAAGTGTGCATTACTAGAAGTATAAATGATTCTTACAAGCTTTATTTTCAGTCTGTTGCTGCGTTTAGTTTTTCCATTAAGTGAAATACTGACTCTACAGTTTCTGCTGTTTAAAAGGAAAAAAGTCCTCTTAGGAGGAGGCAAGAATGCTTCATGTTATGGATGCTCCTAGCCATGGGTAGCTGATGCCATTGAACCCTACAGGAAGGTGCAGCAGGCTGTGTCGTAGTAAGAATTCTTATGATGGCCAGCTCCGACTCACGCTGGAAACGAGCGGAAGTTTCTCTGCTAGCAGTTGGGTTGAATCCTTTGCCAGACAGTCTTTAAGTTTTCACTTATCTTCTGTGGTGCAGTGTAGGTACAGAGAGAGAGATGCTCGGTTCTGGGGGAAAAAATCAAGTTGGAGACTCTTTCCGGAAAGAGGGGGGTAATAGTAGAAGTCTCTTTAACTGTAGTTTGGTACGTGGTTTAATAATCTCTTCTACCAAGTGGGAAACGCTTAAGACCGACAAGTCTGCCACTAATTACGTTCTCTGTTTGGTCTCCAGAAGCTGGACATACTGGCTTTCCCTGTTGAGTGCTTTTTCACTTGAATCTCTGAATTTGAGTTCTCCTTTCTTTTGTTCCTGTAGTGAAAATGAACATGGTGGTCTCCAGTCAACTCTCAAGCATTACAGAACTGAATCTCGCACTACTTACAGCGAAGGCAACAGGCCGCAGACAGGTTATTTTGTCTCTGCTATGCAGCTGGGGTAGTAATGTGACTAAGTCTCTTGGCCAAGGCAGGTCCTTTATTTCAGCTCAGGGTTGAGGCCACTGATCTAGCAATGTACTGTAGCTTTTCCTAGGTTTTAGGAAAAATAAATAGAATGAATTTTCATTGCTACCTAACTTTTATGTACCAAAATCAGCTTTTTAGGCTTCTGATATATCCAGAGCGCTAGGTCACAAATCTCTACACCGTCATTAACACACACAACTACAGCATGTACAATGCAAGAACATGACAGATCACAGCACAGTTTTTATTTAGAAGTAAAACTAAGACTATTTTTTATAAAGCAGACTGGAAAGTTTGTAACAAAAACATTCATTTTATTGGTAGCTGTACAGGTGAAAATACTGTCTTATGCTCCTTGTTTTTGTTTGTTTGTTTGGGGTTTTTTGTTTGTTTTAAAACCATCCATCTGTAAATCCTGTGAGGAAACTGACGCCTGAACCCTGAAGGCTGTTGGGTATTGTATCAAAGCAAGCAGTACTGTAACTTCAGTCACATGCTGTCAACTCAGCCTCCACTGGATGCCTCCAAGAAGTCACCCTGCCAGTGGTTACTCCGATTTGTTAGCAATAGAGCAAGTTACCTTTCACCAGCATTACTGCCAAGCAGGGATTACATTAGTCTACTAATGACCACACTGTGCTAGGACTAGAACACTCCAAAATGCTGTGAGAAAGCTGGACGCCTGTGGAGTCTTTTCCATCAAAACGGGTAGAAAAATATCACTACTTCAGGGTTCTGCTCTGTTTACTTTCTCATTCTCGTTTAAGTTTCTGTAAGATAGTACTTTTGATATGTATTCTATTCTTTAACTCAAAGTCATTTTATTTAAATGCCATTTTCTGTTCAGCAAGCCAAAAAAATCCAATGTACTGTCAGTGTGCACCAGTAACTTCAGAGTGGCTTGGTAAAAACATAGTTGCATTACTTCTAAAATTTGCAATGCAATTCTGATCACTATTGATACATGATAATTTTCACTGTTGGAAGTTGGTTACAAGCTGAATATTCACTGATGCATTTTTTGTAAACTTGTATTCAAGTTTACTGTACTACATAGTATTTGTATAAAATTCAAAGAATTTTGACTTTTGTTACCTGTACATGGCAACAAGTTGTCTAGCATCTGAAACTTAAATCCATCAGTTTATTAAAAATACTTTTATAAAAAAAAGACAGTTGGCTCTGTGTGTTATTCCCCTGGTACCTACAGCTTGTTTTGTCAGTGCCACCCAAGCTGATCTTCGGTTTTGAAAGAGGTTTTCACAGGTCAATGAAACTATCCAAGGGTTTCCTATAGTTAAGCTATAGGCTATATTCTGATGTGGGCGTCAGGAGCTGCAGTTTGGTTTGTCTGAGGCATTATCGAGAGCCACTAGTTTTTAATAGACTACATTCAAAATGTTTTCAGACTTGGCGTGCGAACGACAGCTATTGGGGTACCCAAACACCCGGCAGTACTTGGGATATATTGCAGATATTATGTGCCTTATTCTACAAATTTGCTTGAAAGCCCAGATCTGCAGTCTGCATGTGCACCAGACTAAGCAGCCACAAGGCGCGTGGGGTCTGCAGTGCCTGCACCTCGCCGGTTCCTCTGAGCAGAGCAGAAGGACCCAGACTATGGTAAAGTCCCAACGGCAGCACCGGCCAAAGCCACTGCTCCCTGTGCTGTGCCTGCTCCTGCAGCAGCGGTGACACTGGTGCCATGGCCCAGTGCTGACCCAGACTGGAGAAACTCCCCTGTAGTGGCACCTCTGCTGGAAGCTGTGGCTGCTCTGGGCAGCTCCGTGCAGCCGGCAAAGCGAGTTCCCCAAACGTCCCCAGCTCAGGCCCAGAGCTGGCAGCAGCCCCTGAGGATGGGCTCTGGGCTTTGCAAAATGCAGATAAGCACATGTGTTTTGACAGGAGAGGGTCTTCTCTGCACCTTCACGGCACCGATAAATTGGAGCACTCTCCTGCAGCTGTCAGAGCTGGTGATGCCCTGCCGCTCTCCCCCCACAGCTGGGAAGGGGATGTGTTTTGCCACGCTGTGTGTGCTGAGCCTGGTGTCCCCGCGTGCACTGCTAATGAAGATGGGCTAGCACGTGACTTGCTGGAGAAGCCGCCAAGTTAGAGATGTGTTCCCTTTTCCAACTGCTACTGGACCCTAATCACTAGCAAAGCTGCAAGAGAGTTTGAGGAACTCGTATCCTATTGAAAGGAAACTTGACAACTTTTATAGAGTTCATCAGTTAAAACTGGGAATTCCAGATAAATCCACTTGTGGCATCCAACGGCCAAGAGTACCTGTCTTCTAGGAAGGTGACCAATAACACAAAAAATACATACTGCATTATTTATTAATGGGTGAGTGGCCAAGTTTAACTGAACTGTTCTTGAAGAACATAGAAATGTTTCAAAAGAGATTTCTAGAAGTTTCTTCAGGCATTCAGGGTTTATTGTGCCAATTTGCCATCGAAACAGCTGCTCATAGGCAAAGCTTTTTTACGGCTAAAGGCACCTTAATCATATCACTCCCCCAAAATAAATGTTTTCTTTCACCGTGCTTTGTATAATGCAATGAAAATGGCTATTGGACAGTTCCTGACTTCCTCTGATACCCTTTGGTTTGATTTAAAGCAGATCATAAAAAACCTTGAACCAACTTTGCAGGGTAACAACTTGTCGGGGAAGCCCATAGCACTCCTTTGAGAAAGCAGCTCTGCTCCA